AGAAACTCCAGTCGCTTTATCCAAATGAACCCTAATTAGGTTGCAAAATGTCCTGTTTCCCACAGAATCTGACTAGAGCACTACTGGGAATGCCTTTAAGAAAACTACAGTTAGGAGATAACCTGTCTCCTTTTGCTGCTGTTGCCCCCAAGCAACTTGATATTCAGACAGACTGCTTCTGAACCAGGAGGTTCCATTTAGCTGTAATGATAAGTAGCCAACCAGATTTATCCTCCCTGCGTTCTAATTCATCTGGTTTCTGTGCACTTAGTTGAAACAGGTGTTGATTTCAACATTCTCTTCTCAAAATGCACTTTGTCCTCCTGCATTTGCATCCCAAGTACAAAATGTGATGTGAGGAGCAGCTAGATGAAATGCTTCATTATTATTGAGGTTTTTTTTTTGTTTTGTTTTGTTTTTTTACAAGCCATGCTGTGGATTGAAACTGGGGCCTCCCACATGCTAGGACTGTTCTCTGCCACCCAGACAATTCTGCCCCTCCTTTTATACATTTCTCACATGAAAATAATTGCATAGACTGATTGTTCTAGCAAGATATTTTTTTTAGGTACAGAAAAGGCTTGGGGGAGGAACCTAGTGTCTTAAGCATGTCACATAGGAAGCATAGCTCATTGTTGCCTGGACGCATCTCCACCCCTCACTCCCTTTCGTTCAGTACTGGGAAAAGCTACTTTTTTTGGAATACAGCTCTCCCAATCCTGTACCAAGATCTGGTTACCCAAGAGGTTTCTCCTCCTCCTTTTGCCAAATCAACTCCTCCTGCAGCTACACTTAGCTCTCTCCTTTTAAAATAAAAGAATTGTTTAATATGCATGTCTGCAGGGAGAAACTTAACAATTAGATCTGAATATATAACCTGAAAGCTCAAAGGACAGGATGCAAAAGATACAGCCTAAGGTAGAAACAGCTCCATGGCAGAGCACATGTTTTATATGCAGAAGTTCGCAGGTCCAATTCTAGGCACTTAGTTCCAATTAAGAGGATTAAGAAGCAAGAAAACTACTACCCGTCAAAGTAGACAATCCTGTGCTAGATCGGAAATGGGTCTGAATTCCAGTTTGGGAAGATTTTGGGCAGCAGGGGAGACTGTATTCCAGCAGTGGGTGAGTCCAGTGGGGTCACTGGGGGGTGCGGACCGTATTGGTGACACCCTAAGTAAGGCAGGGACCGGCAGCCTACGGCCCGCAAGCCGGTTCTGGCCCAGGTCCCCGCACTTACTGGTCCAGGTGGACCCCTGCTGCCGCTGCTGCGTTTTGATCGCCGTGCGGCCGCGACGCATTTGCACATGCACAGGAGTACTGCGCATGCGCAAATGAGTCGTGGCCGCCATTTTGGAAA